CCCCTAGGGCCTTCACACTAAGCTATGTCCCCAGCCCTTTTTTCATTTTCTTATTTTTAAATAAGTTCTTGCTAAGTAACTAAGCTGCTTAGGCCAGGCTCAGTCTTACCATCCTCCAGCCTCAGCCTTACAGAGTGCTTGGATTACAGGTGTGTGCCATCATCTCTGGCCAAATGTCTTTATTTTTGACATATTGATAGGAAACCTAATTGTGCCCAAGGGTAGGTAAATTCATTTGTTTAATTGGTGAAATAAGGCAACTAACCTCACAAGTTTCTAAGAAAACAATCTAGGCCTGGACAAATAGCTCAGTGGATTAAAGCTCCTGCTTAGCCGGTGCAGGGGTTCAATCCCCAGCCTGCTGTGCCGGCCCTCCCCCTGGGGCTTGCTGAGATGGTGATTGAGACTGGGTGTGGTGGTGTGTGCCTACAACCCCAGCTCTTGGGAGGCTGAACACAGGCAGATCACTACGCGTCTGATCTACGTAGCAAGACACTGTAGACCCTGTACTAAAATACAAAAAAAAAGAAAAAAGAAAATAATCTAAATTAATTGTGCTATTGGGCTACCAAAAACAGTTAAGAGGGGCCAGGGAGATAGCTCAGTAGAATAAGTGCTTTCCTGGCAAGCACAGGGTCCTGAGTTCAATCCCCCATACTGCAAAAACAAACAAACAAACAAACAAACAAACAAACCAGTTACAAACCCCATAATAAAAATGATAATCTGGGGCCGGGGAGATGGCTCAGTGCAATAAGCACTTCCCTGGCAAGTGTAAGGGCATTAGTTCAATCCCCAGTTCCACCAAAAAAAAAAAAAAAAAAAGATAATCTGATGCCCAAATGGTCCCTTTTATCTCAAGATCTTGAGACATTCTGCAAGTGATGATCATCTCTTACATCATCCACTCTGAGGTAAGATTTTTTTTCCTATTCATAACTGATCCTACATAAAATTATTTCTCCCAAGTTCCACAGTCACAATTGATATTTGAATCCTTCACCTCCTGAGTTATGTGTCTGCTAGCACATAAATCACATTGTAAAGCAAGGAAAATTCTAAATCAGGTCAAATTATGTTTCAGTTATCCAGAGACAGAGCTCGTTAGGAACTTCAGACTCCAAGAAAGATTCCCTCATGATGGGTGGAAACAGGGTTAGGCCAGAGGGATTTCAGGATGGAAGTCTGCTCAGTTCTACTTCACATATACTTGGATGGCCTAAGAGATGAATTGACTTCAAAACACATTCTGAAATTGCAGGTGATCTGGAGCCAAAATAAAGAATATCTGACTGAGTATACACTTTCTCAGAGGAATGATAATAAAATTCTAGACTGTGCTGTAAAATGTTTCATTTTATTGTCCAAATCCATGGAAATTCACCATGGCTGATTGAACTTTTAATATCTGGTCACAACAGGACTTCATTCTTAGTGACACCCAGCTGCAGAGAGCACCTGCCTTTCATCCATACCTTAGTGCTGTCAGGCATCCACTCGGTAGTTTTATACAGTTTAAAAATGTTTATTCACAGGGGCTGGGGAGATGGCTCAGTAGGGTAAGTGCTTGACTGGCAGATGCAAGGATCTGAGTTCAATCCCCGGTTCTGCCACAAAAAAAACAAACAAACAAAAAAAAAACACCTTATATGTAAAGCTTTTCTACATGTGATTAAGTGGCGTTTCTCATGCTACACTACCGTTGAATTCTTCAGTCTCTATTTTTTAAAGATGCCATCTTACAGAACCGCCCTACTGTTATTCCATTTCAGGAAGTTAGACAATACTTTCATTCAGCCTGCTATTCATTTGTCAGTTTGTCAGTCAGTCCAGTGAGGACTCTAAACTTTTCTACAGTGCAGAGCCCAGACCAAGATTATATGTTACCTTTTGCTATTGTTCTCCTTTCAGTTCTTCAGCCTTTCCTTTTCCTCATGACAATGCCACCTTTGAAGAACCTGTGCCCGTTTTTTAGGCCATTTTCTTAATGAGTGCACATTTGTAGTAATAACGTTTACTTTTCTTGACTGGAATTAGTACATGTGCAGAACACATCCGATTCTATTTTCACCCCCTTTTCTTCCCCTTCTCTCTCATTCTTTTTTTTTTTTTTGCGGAACCGGGGATTGAACTCAGGCCCTTGCACTTGCAAGGGAAGCGCTTATTCCACTGAGCCATCTCCCTGGCCCTACCTCATTCTATTTTTAAATGGGTTATATAGAAAAAAAATTTGAGAACTCTAAGTTGTTTTGATTGTTATTGTTTCCCAATTAGCAACTTTTGGTGATAACTTCCAGAAGAGACTTCTAACTTAGTCCTGTCAGCAAAATCCATCATAAATTCAGTCACATAGAATATGCTCAAATAGTGCCATAGGGCCAGGGAGATAGCTCGGCGGTCTAAGCACCTGGCTGGCAAGCACAAGGACTAAGGTTTGATCCCCTGTACCTCATGGTGCTGGCCCCATGCTGTGCCAACCACAGAAACTGGAGAAGGTGATGCATGCCTATAATCCCAGCACTGGGGAGGCTGAGACAGGAAGATCACCAGTATGAGCTGCAAAGTGAGGCCCTATACCAAATTTTAAAAAAATTAAAGATTAAAATAGTGCCACAAGGGGCTAGGGAGATGGCTTATTAGAATAAGCGCTTCCCTGGCAAGTGCAAGGGTCTGAGTTCAATCCCCGGTTCCCCTAAAACAAAATAGTGTCACAGTATTAACTTACTGTACAGGAAATGTCTACAGTGGAAACTTCTCCTACCCAAACACCATGTCGCTTGAGCCTTATCTATCATTTTACCCTTACCTACACAGTGGCTGACATTCAGAAGATTTAATTGAATGGGTATAACTTCCGCAGCAGTGAGGGGGGATACAGTACTTAGATGTGCTTAATGGTAGCATTTTTGTTTTGCCTTTTATTTATCCTCAATATAGTGACAAGACACAAAACAGTTGATCAAGAATAGAAAGTCTTTATATCCTCCACAAATTAGGTTTTCCTACAGGCATCAAGCCATACTCCTCCAAAGAACACTTTGCTCTCCAAATGCTTCAAATGCACTGACTTCTTATGAGTTTTACCTTTTTCCTTGGGTCATTAGATATAATTTTCTGCATTTCTGTCTTCATTCCTTCTCTCTTTATGTTAGATATCAAAATCTATCTCATTAACTCCATCTCTGCTAAATTCAAATTTTGGGGTTTAAAAAGGTCTTTATCATCTGAACATTCTAAACAAGTTTTGAAAAAGTAAATATTTTTAAAATGCTTTATCTCGCATTCTTGGAGTCTGAGGCAGAAGGGTTGTAAATTCTAGCCCACCTTGGATAACTTTGCAAGACTCCCTGTGAAAATAAAAAAGAAAGATTAAAATTGTTTTGCTGCCCCCCCCAAAAAAAAAAAGAAAAGAAAAAAAGGACTGGGATGGAGCTCAGGAGAGAGCGGAAGAGGGGGAGGGGAAAGGGAGGAGGAGAGGGACAGAGCAAGGAGGGAGAGGACACCCTTGCCTCTCTACCTGTCTTGTCAATCTGCTTAAGGACATCAGTTGTGCCCTGCTTTGGCACTGTTAAATACAACTAATAGTTTAATTGCAAACAGCTGTATACTACTATTTCATTGTGTTTAGGGAGCAATTGGTGTGCTTCTATTTACTTGTTCTCATCGCCATATGACAACATTTCAACTGTAGATGAAATAATAGATGCTCAGAGAGAAATCACTAGTCTAAGGCCAAATGTAGGATTTGCAATTTGCACTTGGAAAGCCTCTTAGTTATGCCTTTGTTAAATCGCTCCGTGCCAGATTGCTGTGATGTGCCTCAATCTTTACAGTCCTGTGTTCTGGCAGGAAGACTTAACAAGTGCTTAGCAATTTCACACCCGCACAACCCCCCCACACACTCATGCACCCACATACACACGTATGCACGCCTAAAGAAAATTTCCAAGAAAATAAAGAATTATGGAATAGTTGGAATGGCCTTCTTTTCACTTATTTTAGGGTTGGCTTTATTTTGAGGTGCAAGGTAGGGTGTGGGAAGTGGCCACCAAAATCTCTTCATTCCTCAGAGACTCTTAATGCCAGCCTGGGGGCTTTTTAAAGAAATAAAGTGGTGTTTCATTTAAAAATACTCTTTTCATTGCTTTAGAGAAAGTTCCCTTATGGTAAATAAATGAGCTGTTCTGGCAAAGCATGGTGAGGAGAGACTCTACTCTTGCATTACAGAACTCGGAGCATGTTTTGGGAGATTAGAACAGCTCCTCAGATGAAAGGGATCACACGCAGTGTACACATTTGGGAGTAGTGTCTGTGTGCTTCAGGGACAACTTTTTTTTTTTTTTTTTGTGGAACCGGGGATTGAACTCAGGTCCTTGTACCTGCCAGGGAAGGGCTTACTCCACTGAGCCATCTCCCCGGCCCCAAGGGACAACATTTTTCTGACTTTTCATTCTTCATATTTTGTCAGCTAAGGATCAAATTCTCTTTTCATATTCTGAGGCAGTGTCCTTCTCAATACTTAATTGCCCACTGTTATTGTTAGCTTTTATTTCTTTAAAAATTATTTAGGCAGTTTTTATTTTTTTTATTTATTTATTTATTTGCGGAACTGAGGATTGAACTCAGACATTTGCACTTGCCAGGAAAGCACTTATTCTGCTGTGCCATCTCCCTGGCCCAGTGACCATTTTAATAACCACTCCAGGTAGTATTTTGCATTTTGTCAAATAGATGGATGGGGAAAGGTCAAGGATAAGAGGCAAAGTCTTGTAACATGCCTTACCTGGCTAAAGGCCTCAGATCATGAGATCTGGTAGCATGGTATAACATGGATCTTTTTATTCTTAATACTTGTTGGATACCTTCCCAGGCCAGATTTCCACATATGTTATCTTCTTTAGTTCTTACAATCACCAGACACACAATATTTTATTTCATTTCATTTGGAAATATTAGCACAAAAACTTTGAATCAGTGCATCCAAGTGTCTTCCAGCCACAACATGCAGATCACACTGCCAATTGTCTAAACAACGTGTTCAATTCCTTCCCAATGCTTTTGCCTGGCACCATGTGTCCAATCAAGACACTTTCTAAACTCTCCCTAATATTGATCTCTCTATCTTTATTATTTTGTGCCAATTAGTAAATACTAACAGTTTCACTACTACATAGTTCCATATTATACTTCTTGTTTTTCTTTCTGAATTGGCTTCCAATTACTTCAAGAATGAAAAAAACAACACAAACTTAGCAGTTTAACACAAAACAAATTTATCATTTGATGATTATGGAGGTCAGAAATCTGAAAGAATTTTATGGGCCTACAACAAGTGTTGGAAGGTCTAATTCCTCTAGAGGCTCCAAGGAAAACCTATTACTTCATCTTTTCTCTTTCTGTAAGCTTCTGGCATTCTTTGGCTATGCCAAGAAGACCCTGTACCACATCACCTTTCTCTCTTGCTTCTACATTTATATGGTTTACTTCCTCTTCTTCTAAGGACATGTGATGGCATTTAGTGTCTATTCAGGTAATTGAAGATAATCTCTTCTCAATATCCTTTCTTTTTCTTTTTCTTTTTCTTTCTTTTCTTTTCTTTTCTTTTTTCTTTTTCTTTTTTTTTTGTGGTACCAGGGATTGAACTCAGGACCCTGCACTTGCCAGGCAAGTGCTTATTCTACTGAGCTATCTCCCCGGGCCCTCAATATCCTTTCTTTTGCGGGGAATGTAGCTCAGGGGTAGAGCACTTGCCTAGTATGCACAAGACCTTGGGGGTGAGCACCAGCACTAAGAAGAAAATCCTTAATTTAAGCATACACATGTTGTTATTTATGCCAGGTAAAGTAATATGCAGAGGCTCAAAGGATTTGGACCCAGGTATGTTTGAAAGATGTTTTTCTGTATACTTCAACCTAATAGCCTGATTCTTGATGTCCTCATCTCTCACTCTCTAGTTGGTCTCTTTGCTTTCAGTTGAAACCATCTTCACTCCTACCACCCATGATTTAGAGTAGTGGTTCCAGAATGTTCATAAACTGTATCCTTGGGAAGGCTGTTAGAAACACAGGTGCCTCAGGTAGGAAGATCACAAATTCATTCTGGGCAATGACTTAGCAAGACTCTATCTCAAAATTTTTAACAAAGGGATGGGATGTAGCTCAGTGCAAGGCTCTGGGTTCAATCATTAGTACCGCAAAACAAAGTCAAGCAAGCAAATGGATGCATGAACTCTACACATGGGGATTTTCAAAAGTTGACAATAACTATACCTATGGGATACAATATGATATATATAGTGGAATGATCAAATAAGGCTAATTGGTATATCTGTCAGCTAAAAAAAATATCATTTTTTTGGTAAGAACATGTAAGAGCCCCTTTTATTTTGAAATGTATAATGCAATTAATACCACTCACCTTGCTGTGCAATATTCCTATTTGTAGTAATTATAAATTTGTACCCCATTCATGACAAATTCTCACCAATTTCACTTCTTCTGAGAATGTGAAGCTTTTACATTCTACCTATAGGTGAGATTATATGGTATTTGTCTGAGTTATTTTACTTTATATATCTTCTAGGTTAATCCATACTTTTGCAAATGATAAGATTTCCTGTTTTTTATGTTATTTATTTATTTTTGATCTCCTGTTTTTTATTTTTTATTTTTTTTGGTGGAACCGGGGATTGAACTCAGGCCCTTGTGCTTGCCGGGGAAGTGCTTATTCCACTGAGCCATCTCCCTGGCCCCAAAAGGAGGCCCTGGTAGCACTATATTTATTTATTTATTTATTTATTTATTTATTTATTTATTTGGCAGAACCAGGGATTGAACTCAGGCCCTTGCACTTGCCAGGGAAGCGCTTATTCCACTGAGCCATCTCCCCAGCCCCTTTTATGTCTTCTTTAAAAAAAAAAAATTTATTTATTTGTGTGTGTGTGTATGTGTGTGTGTTCAGCTCAGCCCACCAGGGGGCGGGGCTGGCTGGCCTGTGGTGCTGGGATATTGAACCGTAGTCCCTGTGCTTTGCTAAGCTTGTTCTAAGTAGGTGCTTTAGACCACTGAGCCATCTCACCAGCCCCATGTATGTCTTCTTTTGAGAGCTATCCATCTGGATTTTTAAAATTTTAAACATCTTTTTAAAACTTCCATTTCATAAACCTCTTATTACTGGGTAATTGGGATTTAAATATGTATTTTGGATATTAATACCTTCTCCAATATATGATTTGCAAGTGTTTTTTCCCAACCTGTTGTCCCTGCACTCCATTGTTTCCCTTGCTTTGCAAAAATTTTTCAGTTTAATGTAATCTTTTTTTTCCCTACTTAAGGATTTCACAGGGTCCTACACTGAGACAAATTCTCAGTTTAAACATTTTCTTTTGGTAAAATTTTGAGTTAGAGCTTTGGTAAGTTGCCCAGACTGACTTTAAACTTATAGCCCTCCTACTTCAGTGTCCCAGATTGCAAGGTGTATGTCTCTGTGCCCAACTCGATGCAAGATTACCTTCTATTGGAGATGGCTCAGTAGAACAAGTGCTTCCCTGGCAAGCTCAAGGGCCTGAGTTCAATCCTTGGTTCCACCAAAAGAAAAGATTACCTTCTGTTTCATTTTTTGTACATATGGGATCATAGCTAAGAAATTATTACTCAAGTCATTGTCATTCAGCTTTTACTCTGTTTTATTCTAATTGTTGTATAATTTTAGGTCTTATGTTTAAATATGAACCTTTTAAAATTGAGTCTTACGTAAGGTGTGAGATAAAGTTCCATCTTCCCTCTTCTCTATATGGATACCCTGTTTCCTCAACATCATTTATTAGAAAGACTCTTCTTTATTGTGTGTTTGTCATTGTTTGGATTGCTGTAGTTTTGTAATGAATTATGAATTCACTGGAGGTTATAATTTATGCTTTATAAATCCACCACCATACTGACTTAAATGAGTTCATGAACAAGCCGTGTGCAGTGTAATGCCAAATACTTGGGAGGCAGAAGCAGGAGGATCATAGATACCCCATCTCAAAAGATAAAAAAGGGCCATGGATGTAACTTAGTGCAGAGGTCCTGGGTTCAATCTCTATGACCTCGCAAATATTCAAAAAAGTTAATGGACAAATAAAAACTACAGCATGATAACAGCTCCAAAATTTCTCTATAGACGACATTCAAAATAGAAGTACACTTTGAGGACTGAAGGCTTACCTTAAAACTGCATTTGTACAGCAAGCATGCTGCCTTGTAATTGATTACATGTTATGCACCAATAAGAAGAACAAAATATACTGAAGACATTTTTATTCCTATATTAATTTTTAAAAATTGCTTTAATATTAGAAGTGGTCCTCATGTGTGGCTTGTGGAGTTGGCGTTTGCAGGTGCAAAGGGTTTGGTGAGATTTCTCACTGTTTTGCTGGTGCAGCCTACCAAGAGGCCAGAAGGCAGAACTT